TCCTACAACAACATCGGTATTGTGTATAAAAACATGGGCGAATACTCGAAAGCACTTTCATCGTATGAACGATCACTTGAAATGAGGAAAATAGCTCTCCCGTCAAATCATCCGGACTTCGCTTCTTCCTACAACAACATCGGTACTGTGTATAATAACATGGGAGACTACTCAAAAGCACTTTCATCGTATGAACGATCACTTGAAATCCAGAAAATAGCTCTCCCTCCGAATCACCCGGACTTCGCTTCTTCCTACAACAACATCGGTATTGTGTATAAAAACATAGGCGAGTACTCGAAAGCACTTTCGTATTACGAAAAGGATCTTGAGATTAGTCAAAAAGCTCTCCCTACGAATCATCCCAAGTTGGCGTCTTCCTACCTCAACATCGGTTCTGTGTATTATAGGATGGGGGATTACTCAAAAGCACTTTCATCGTATGAACGATCACTTGCAATCCAGAAAATAGCTCTCCCTCCGAATCATCCGGACTTCGCTTTTTCCTACAACAACATCGGTAATGTGTATGAAAACATGGGCGAATACTCGAAAGCACTTTCATCCTTCGAAAGATCACTTGAAATGAGGAAAATAGCTCTCCCGTCAAATCATCCGGACTTCGCTTCTTCCTACAACAACATCGGTACTGTGTATAATAACATGGGAGACTACTCAAAAGCACTTTCATCGTATGAACGATCACTTGAAATCCAGAAAATAGCTCTCCCTCCGAATCACCCGGACTTCGCTTCTTCCTACAACAACATCGGTGATGTGTATAAGAAGATGGGAGAGTACTCGAAAGCACTGTCGTTGTATGAACGATCACTTAAAATCTGGAAAGAAACTCTGCCTTCGAATCATCCCCACTTGGCTCTTTCCTATAACAACATCGGTGATGTGTATAGGAACATGGGAGAGTTCTCAAAAGCTCTTTCATTGGTTGGAAAAGCGATTGATATTCGCGAAGAAACTCTTCCTCAGCATCATCCTGATTTGGCTATTTCGTACAACAGTATTGGTCTAGTGTATGGTGATATGAGCGAGTACTCGAAGGGCCTTTTATTTCTTGAAAAGGGACTTGATTTACGACAGAAATCACTGCCACCAAATCACCCGGATGTTGGAGAATCGAAAGCAAACATTGAACGAGTGAAAGAGAAATTGTAATGTTTTTTTATTTTGAAAAGAAAAGATATAGTGCCCTTTTCTCAAAAGCCCGGCGAAGCGAAGCAGCTGCAAGAAATTTCGCGCTCGCGCGACCAGGGATAACCTCCGTATTGTATTGGCTGGTACAGTCAACAAAGCCGGCAATAGTTGGGCAAACATAAATCCATGTATGTATGACTAGTACATCCATGATCGTCGTGTTTGAAAAGGCAATGATGGGATGGACGCTTCTAGTGATACATGCATAGATGTATGTTATGTAGGCCTACTATCTCTGCGCCTGCACGGGTCACCAACAGAACGTCGGATATCCCTTGGGCGGTTAATTTGTTTTAGAGTCGCCCCTGCAGCTCATTATGTGTATAAAATCACTATTCCGTTACCAGAACAAGAAGAATGTAGAAACGGAAAGAAATCAAAGGTATGAAAACGGAAGGACGCGAAGAAAGACGACGTCGACAATATGCAGCGAATGGTAGCCGGCCGGTGTGTAACGTAACAAAAGAAGATGAGGGCTGGATATGTTTGTTGTCTTTCCTAGCGAATGTACTGACCTAAGGGTATCTGAAAAAGTACCCTGCTACTATTTAGTATGTCACAGGATCTGTTGGGTACTGAAGTAGCTTTAAAGTACTTTTAGGGACGTATAAGGTACTGGGGCGGGTGCCCCGCTGAAAAGCGTCTAGTAATTGTGTACTTGAAGGTACTGATCAAACACTCAACTAGGTATTATGGCACAGTATTTTTAGGTACCCTGTGACCAAAATTGTAGTATGTTGATGATCGAACCTAACTTTTGACTTTTTTCATTTTTGTTTCTCTCAAAGCAATTTATGATATTTTTTTGATTTTATTTAATTTGATTTTTCCAATTCTGAAAACTCAAGTAGGTCAAATTTCGGAATCTGACGGGACCTGAGTTGGTCGGATCTCCATCAGACCAGTTCAGGGTTGTTCTCTCTCAATTTACGATCGACATCAGCATGTTCTCGACTAGTAAATAGTCAAGAAATAAGCTAGAAAAAATTAGTATGAAAAAATATGAATTTCTTATGCTTTTTCGAGTTGTTTATATGAAGCCGTGCGTGCAAAAGAAAACGGTGAATAAACAGTTGCTTCACAGAACGCGCCAAATCCAGGATACTGAGCAGAGCTTTCCTCAGTAAAATTACAGATGAGGGTACCAGTACAAATACTTGTTCAGTAAACATACTGCTATGGGTACCAAATGCCGTACCTACATCAGTATAATTACTGAGATTTTTTCGAAGTACCCATATCGGGTACCTTGCTGAGACTTTCTCAGTACATGGGTACCCTTAGCTCAGTACATTCTCTAGGATTGAAACATATCGTGTTCAATCGTTTCGATTTTCATCTCGAATGTGTAATGACGATGAATATGTTGTGCACTCAATATCATCATACAAGAGCGATGATCGATCGAAGGAACTAGGGATGGCACTTTACCTTTACTTTACAAAAGTAACTACGTAACTAAAGTAGTTACTTTACAAAAGTAACTACGTAACTAAAGTAGTTACTTTACAAAAGTAACTAGTAACTAAAGTAGTTACTTTACAAAAGTAACTAAGTAACTAAAGTAGTTACTTTACAAAAGTAAATGGTAACTAAAGTAACTAACTTTACAAAAGTAGCCACCTGACTGATGCAGGTCTTTTTTTCTAATTAACTACCCAGCTACTGCTTTTGCTATTAACAGAAAACTTATTAAACATAAAATTTACTTTTTTGTTTCAGGCTTACTGACCTTCTAGTACCAACAAGGTAATTAGAGAGCTAAATGTCTTCCAAATTTGGTAGCGCATCTCAGACGTATGGAAAAGTTGAAGAAATTCAAGTTCATAGTGGCTTCTCATATAGAATCTTTGCAAAGAAAAGCATTCAATTCATTCTCTTAATTAAGTGATTAGAAATGTTCTACACTGGAAATAATGCAGTTCTTAATTGATTTGAACGATCTTTTGAAACACTGTTCGCAGCAATTGTCTTTCTGGATCAAATTGAAATGATAGTTTGTATAGAGATTCAATAGAGTAGGACGGAGATAATTCTTAAGGGTACCCCCCCCCCTCTTTTTTGACACTTTCTGGTTCTCGAAGACGGTACAACCGATCAAGCTCAAATTTTCAGCACAGATAGAGCATCAAAAATAACGAGATACGTGTTCGAGGAAAAAAAAATTGGATTAAGTTTACATGGGGTTTTCTCGAAAACTCCAGTTTTCCAGAGGTCTACATCCTGGTACATTACGACCTCCCTCAAAATTTGTCCGATTGAGCTGAAATTTTTTTTATAGATACTCGAGACTATTCCCCAGAGGTAAATTTGAGCTTTTTCAAAAATCTCACTTTTTTTTTTTTTATAAGAAAAATACGCCAAGATCTTGAGCTGACACTTGGGTCTTACCTTTCAGACCCCTGTAACTTCGGATAGGAATGTCAAAAATGAAAACGCTCGATTTTACCTCTGGAGAATACTTCAAAGTATTAGTGGTAAAAATGTCAGCTCTATCGGACAAAATTAGAGGGGGGTCGTAAGCGACCAGAATTGAGAAAATTGTGGTTTTGAGATACGCTAATGAAAAGAAAATATTTCCTTATGATTACTATGAAAAAAAAATGTCTTTAATTCAGTAACTCTGTAACAGTAAGGTGTTTTGAGTCGAATGATGTGTCTAATGGCACACAACACTTGAGGCTATGATGTCTTATGCTCAACTCGAAATCGAGTTTTTGGTCGAAAAAGAGGGGGGATACCCTTAAATCTATGAATTGATTTAAATCATCGTACGAGGATGGTTCCCTTTGAAACAATGTACATGATATTAGTTCTGACATGAACTTTTTCTAAATATAAGTGACGTCATTAGGATTCGTCTCTATTCCAGATATATTTCCCTAATGGATTGTTTTGGGATAGATCATGTTTCTATCACTAGTTTCGTATTTTAAACAACAAGAACTTTTTTAAAACGGTGGCGATAAGTTTTGCCACCTACAGGCATCATGCAAAGCCCTACTCTAAGTATAAAACAAAACCCCAACCATTATGTGGATTAAAACCATGCACTTGCTTAGGGATGTGTGGTGTGAGATTATTGAACACCGGTTGACACCGACAGTGACGCTCAGTGCACACCGATAGGTTCAGTGTCACTGGTGATTCAGGCACAGTGAGTTCAGTGACATCTCGTAATTAATTGTTACCAGTATTGTATAACAATTAATTACGAAATGTCACTGAACTTACTGTGCCTGATTCACCAGTGACACTGAACCTATCGGTGTGCACTGAGGGTCGCTGTAGGTGTCAAAAGTGTCGGTTTTTTTAGTGATGTCACTGACACCGCACATCCCTACACTTGCTCACAATCAAGATTAGTCGCTGATACATTCTTGAGTCGGTATATGTATTTGCTAGTCTACTTATAAATCAAGTAACATTCACTACAGCATCAATACAGATTACTTGGGCAAGTACGCTGGAAGGAGAGGAGCGCATAAATAGGCCAAAATTTACGTGCTAATGCTTTTATCTCCTTTATCCATTGAATCATACAGCATTTTTGTTTCAGTGAGAGCTTAGAAAAGTACTGAAGTACAATAGTAGTGAAAGTTTAACTCTTTAAGTACCACGACTCCGCTAGTAAAAGGATTTTCCTTATGAATTCATGTTTGAGATACTTATTATGCAGCATTGATATTTCCATCGAAACTATTTGAAGATCTTGAAAACCAATTTCATGCATATATAAGGCTTTTAGTATAATCCTTAAAATGATGTATTGGTGATCTTCCTCATACCTATCAGGTTTACTACCTGATTGACCTCATTAGTGTTATGATTTTTACATGGATGTATGCACCGAAGTATCTTCTATGTCATAGCGAAAATCACACTTCGACATCATTTCACGTTCGCTAGTTATTCAAAAACTAAGATATTTAATAAAAGTGTGCCTTATTTAGCATGCTGGTACTTAAAGGGTTAACAATGCTCAAAAACCGATTCCTAACACATGTTACTCGCACCGGCTTTCTAACTCGAATTAACTCTAATGCGTACAGCACTAATATATATAGGAGGGCTACTGTCTCAAAAAGACTGAAAAAAGATCATTTTAATCGGATTGTTAACCCTTTACCCCCGGCTTGGTCGTTTTCGACCCATTCGTACGATTTACATAATTTAGTAAAAAAACGTCTGATTGAGAAGATTGTGGAATATTTGTATAGAGAATTGAATGAGCTATAAATTTATAAAAAAAAGAATTTCTTCTCAATCATTCTTTGCCAGACTTATTTGAGTCAAAAAATTGTGAATTTTCGAAAATGCGAAAAAATCGGTTTTCTGAGTTTATTACTTTTTCTTATGTACGTAGATTGAGTACTCAGACATTCTAATTGTTGATGTGTACTACTACTACGCTAACCTATTTGAAAGAAAGATCAAATGGATTTGTTAATTATTCGAGAATGAGCACCATTCTTCAAGTTAATTTGGGTCGTTTTCGACCCATTCGGGTTGAGTGACATAAAATTTTTATTTTTCTGAAATGATTTTCTCTCATTAATATGATTGTATAATTAGTGATAGAAAAAAGCGTAAATCTAAATCGAACATCTCAACAGCTATTTGTTTCGATGGCATAGAACATTGGCCAATTATCGAAACAAGTACACGTATTCAATGTAAATATGAAGGTTGTTCAAATAAAACAGTAATTAGTTGTTCCAAATGTCAAATACATTTATGTTTTACAGGAAAGCGTAATTGTTTTAAAGATTTTCATTGTGAAAAATCGACATAGTTACGAAGTATCATTGTTTTATTTTGTGTTACTCATTGTAAAGTTTCGTTTAAAAATAATTAAATGTATCTAATATCATTTTTGAAAAATTCGATTTTGCAGAAAAAAATTGTTTTTACGAAAAGCCACTATGAACTTGAATTTCTTCAACTTTTCCATACGTCTG